GAATTTTAAAATTTTCATTTTGATTTCATTGTTGACCCAGTGATCATTCAGGATCAGGTTATTTAATTTCCATGTATTTGCATGGTTTTGAAGGTTCCTCTTGGAGTTGATTTCCAGTTTTATTCCACTGTGGTCTGAGAGAGTGCTTTATATAATTTCAATTTTCTTAAATTTCTTGAGGCTTGTTTTGTGGCCTCTCGTATGGTCTATCTTGGAGAAAGTTTCATGCACTGTTGAATAGAATGTATATTCTGTGGTTGTTGGGTGGAATGTTCTCTTATATATCTGTTAAGTCCATTTGTTCCAGGGTATAGTTTAAATCCATTGTTTCTTGACTTTCTGTCTTGATGACCTGTCTAGTGCTGTAGGTGGAGTATTGAAGTCCCCTACTATTATTGTGTTGCTGTCTATCTCATTTCTTAGGTCTATTAGTAATTGTTTTACAAATCTGGGGGCTCCAGTGTTAGGTGCATACATGTTTAGGATTGTGATATTTTCCTGTTGGATAAGGCCTTTTATCATTATATAATGTCCCTCTTTGTCTTTTTTAACTGCTGTTGCTTTAAAGTTTGTTTTATCTGATATAAGAATAGCTACTTCTGTATCAGAGGAACCAGCCCCCAATATTTCAACATAGGTTATTTCTCTTTTCCCTAAGTGTCAGCCGGTCTGAGAAATAAAGAGAAAGAGTACAAAGAGAGAAACTTTACAGCTGGGCCTCTGGGGGTGACATCACATATTGGCAGGTTCCATGATGGCCCTTGAGCCGCAAAACCAGCAAGTTTTTATTAGAGATTTCAAAAGGGGATGGGGGTATGAACAGGGAGTAAGTCACAAAGATCACATGCTTGAAAGGGCAAGAAAAGATCACAAGGGCAGAGAGGAGAGCAAGATCACAAGGCCAGGGCGAAATTAGAATTACTGATGAGGTTCCACATCCTGCTGGGCACGCATTGTCATTGATAAACATCTTAACAGGAAACAGGGTTCAAGAGCAGACAACGGGTCTGACTAGAATTTGCCAGGCTGGAATTTCCTAATCCTAGCAAGCCTTAGGGCACTGCAGGAGACCAGGGCATATTTCGTCCTTTATCTTCAACCCCATAAGACAGACACTCCCAGAGTGTCCATTTAGAGACCTCCCCGTGGGAATGCATTCCTTTCCCAGGGTTATTCCTTGCTGGGAAAAGAATTCAGCGATATTTCTCCTATTCGCCTTCCACAAGAAGAGAAATATGACTCTGTTCTGCCCAGCCCAGCAGGAAGTCAGACCTTATGGTTATCTCCCTTGTTCTCTGAAAATCTCTGTTATCCTGTTCCTTTTTAGGATGCCTAGATTTCATATTATTCAAACACATATGTTTTACAAACAATTTGTGTAGTTAACAGGGTCCTGAGGTGACATACATTCTCAGTTTATGAAGATGATGGGATTAAGAGATTAAAGTAAAGATGCATAGGAAATTATAAGAGTATTGATTGGGGAAGTGATAAATGTCCGTGAAGTCTTCACAATTTATGTTCAGAGATTGCAGTAAAGACAGGCACAAGAAATTATAAAAGTATTAATTTGGGGAACTAATAAATGTCAATGAAATCTTCACAAATTATGTTCTTCTGCTGTGGCTTCAGCCAGTCCCTCCATTCGGGGTCCCTAACTTCCTGTAACACTTCTGGCCAGGCGCTGTGGCTCACATCTGTAATCCCAGCACTCTGGGAGGCCAAGGTGGGTGGATCATGAGGTCAAGAGATTGAGACCATCCTGGCCAACATGGTGAAACCCTGTCTCCCCTAAAAATACAGAAATTAGCTGAGTGTAGTGTGACGTGCTTGTAGTCCCAGCTGCTTGGGAGGCTGAGGCAGAAGAATCGCCTGAACCTGGGAGGCAGAGTTGCAGTGAGCCAAGATTGTGCCAATGCACTCCAGCCTGGTGACAGAGCAAGACTCCGTCTCAAAACAAAACAAAACAAAAAACGGCTACTCCTGCTCACTTTTGGTGTCTATTTGGATGAAATGTCTTTTTACCCCCTTTACCTTAAGTTTATGTGAGCCCTTATGTTTTAGGTGAGTCCCTTGAAGGTAGCAGGTTGGTGAATTCTTATCCATTCTGCAACTTTTTATCTTTTAAGTGGAGCATTTAGGCCATTTACATTCAATGTTAGTATTGAGATGTGAGGTATCGTTCCAGTTACCATGCTACTTGTCACCTGTATACCTTGGTTTTTTGTTTTTTTCTTTTTCTTTTAAATTGTATCTTTGTTTTATGCATCCTGTGAGATTTAAGCTTTAAAGAGGTTCCATTTCGATGTGTTTTCAGGATTTGTGTCAAGATTTAGAGCTCCTTTTAGCTATTCTTGTAGTGGTCGCTTGGTAGTGGTGAATTTTCTCAGCCTTTGTCTGAAAAAGACTGTATTTTCCCTTCATATATGAAGCTTAGTTTTGCTGGATACAAAATTCTTGGCTGATAATTGTTTTGTTTGAGGAGGCTGAAGATAGAGCCCCAATTCCTTCTAGCTTGTAGAGTTTCTGCTGAGAAATCTGCTTTTAATCTGATAGGTTTCCCTTATAGGTTACCTGGTGCTTTTGCCTCAGAGCTCTTAAGATTCTTTCCTTTGTCTTAACTTTAGATAGCCTGTTGACAATGTGCCTAGGCGATGATGTTTTTGTGATGAATTTCTCTTCTTTGAGCTTCTTGGATTTGGATGTCTAGGTCTCCAGGAAGGCTGGAAAAGTTTTCCTTGATTATTTCCCCAAATATGTTCTCCAAATTTTAGATTTCTCTTCTTCCTCAGGAATGCTGATTATTCTTAGGTTTGGTTGTTTAACATAATCCTAGACTTCTTGGAGTCTTTGTTCATATTTTCTTATTCTCTTTTCTTTGTCTTTGTTGGACTGGGTTAATTGAAAACCTTGTCTTCTAGCTCTGAATTTCTTTCTTCTGTTTGTTTGATTCTATTGCTGAGACTTTTCAGAGCAGTTTGCATTTCTATAAGTGTGTCCATTGTTTCCTGAAGTTTTGATTGTTTTTTACTTATGCTATCTATTTCACTGAATATTTCTCCCTTCACTTCTTGTATCTTTTTTTTTTTTTTTTTTTTTTTTTAATCTCCTTAAATTGGGCTTCACCTTTCTCTGGTGCTTCCCTGATTAGCTTAACAACTAATCTTCTGAATTATTTTTCAGGAATAAATCAGGAATTTCTTCTTGGTTTGGATCCATTGTTGGTGAGCTAGTGTGATATTTTGGGGGTGCTAAAGAACCTTGTTTTGTCATATTACCAGAGTTGGTTTTCTGGTTCCTTCTCATTTGGGCAGGCTGTGTCAGAGGGAAGGTCTAGGGCTGAAGGCTGTTGTTCAGATTCTTTTGTCCCACAGGACGTTCCCTTGATGTACTACTCTCCCCCTTTTCCTAGGGATGTGGTTTCCTGAGAGCCGAACTGTAGTGATTGTTATCTCTCTTCTGGATCTAGCCACCTAGCAAGTCTACCAGGGTCTGAGCTAGTACTGGGGGTTGTCTGCACAGAGTCCTGTGATGTGAACAGTCTGTAGGTCTCTCAGCCATGGATTACCAGCACCCGTTCTGGTAGAGGCAGCAGGGTGAAATGTACTCTGTGAGGATTCTTAGCTTTGGTGGTTTAATGCACTATTTTTGTGCTGGTTGGCCTCCTGTCAGGAGGTTGCACTTTCCAGAGAGCATCAGCTGTGGTAGTATGGAGAGGAACCGGTGGTGGGTGGGGCCCTAGAACTCCCAAGAGTATATGCCCTTTGTCTTCAGTTACCACGGTGGGTAGGGAAGGTGGCTGGGGGTGTGAGCTTTGTTTTAGTTAGTTTTCACTTGAAGAGTGTGTTTATGGGTGAGTTGCATGCCATCTCTAGGAACTGGCTAGCTTTGGGAGGGGCTGACTCTCCAGGGTCAGCAATGCCCCAGATATCAAAAGCATCAGAGTAGAAAATAAAATATATGGTAATACACACCATGGGGCAGCACAAATGTTTCAGGGCCCTGAGGCCCAGTCTAACAAGAAAGTTCAGCAGCCACCCTTCTAGTTTTGCCCAGGTTGGGCCAGGTTCTCCAACATAGGTGATACCATGTGCTTATTCAAGTGTGCTGATCTTGCATGCAGGGATATATGCACATTATATATATGTGTATAAATGCAATCATGTGGGTACACCTGAATATACACATAGGCTTTGGAACAGAAACACCAAGAAGAAACTCTGTTCCTACTGTTCCTCACAAGGGACCTCTGAGAGTGACAGCAAAGCTGGTGATCCCATCAGTCATCAGAGTCTCTCATTCCTGGGTAAATATCTGATGCTGCTGGGCAGTGAGCAGTTCTGCAGCTGAACTGGGTGCTCCCCAAGCCAGGTCTCTGATGTTTCCTACACAGTAGGGTAGAAATTGCCAGGCTTTTGGAGTTGTTTCAAAACTTTACTCCACAACTTTCAGCTCTTGGGTATGTTACTTAACCTTTCTGACACAAGATTTGTTCTGTGAAATGGAGATAGGTGTTTTTACCTGGAAGAAATTGTAAGAAAACTGAATGAGACCTACTTCTTTCTGGTAGATACTCAAAAAACTTTAAAACCTGTCTGAGTCAGACACACACCCAAAGATACATAAGAGGTGTTTATAATAATGCCACTGTCTGTAGTAGAGAACCAGTTTAAACAATCTAAATACTTAACAGTCAGAGAGTTGTCAAATAAATTAAAGTGCCTCCATTTTGTGGAATACCATGGTCGCCATGAAGTAGTTTCACATTTGTTGCAATGGGAGCATAATCTCAACACACTATTAAGTATTTAGATTACAAATACTTATCAAATATTTGCACTCATGTTAAATCTAACAAGAACAAAAGAGAAGAGTAGGAAGAGATAGTCACACTCAAAGGTCAATAGTGGAACTTTTTGTTCTTCCTTCTCCCCATCCTTTTCCAACATTGCATCCCCGAGCACTGTAGTACCTTAGAGTGTCTGTCTGTATTTTAGGTGGGTCTTCAAAGGGTGTGGTGAAATATGAGCCTCTGGGGGATGCGGTCCAGAATAGCACATACCGGATCAACAGCTACTTGGACAACAAGTGCAGACCATGGCCTGTCCACGAGATCATTCACTTGGCAAGGGAGAGGATTGACAAAAAGTTTCACTACAACATTCTTTGTTCAAATTGTGAGCACTTTGCCACTCAGATATGACGAGCACCACAGCAAGCAGGTAAGCCTCCCTCTGGAGTTGTGTTGGCAGAGGGATAGATGAAGCTGTTGGCAAACATCAGGGGAGCCCTCCTGACACCTCTTACATAGAAACTCAAGGACCAGACATTTAAATGGCATCTAATTAATACAGGAGTTATTATTACAGGGGTTATTATTCATTGCTCCACAGCTGGGGACACTGAGATCCAGGGATTCCCGGTAACTTGTCCATGGTGATCAAAGCAAAGAGGACACTTCAGAAATTGAACCCATTTACTTTTTTTTTTTTTTGAGATGGAGTCTCGCTCTGTTGCCCAGGCTGGAGTGCAGTGGTGCGATCTCGGCTCACTGCAAGCTCCACCTCCCGGGTTCACACCATTCTCCTGTCTCAGCCTCCCGAGTAGCTGGGACTACAGGTGCCCGCCACCACACCTGACTAATTTTTTGTATTTTCAGTAGAGATGGGGTTTCACCGCATTAGCCAAGATGGTCTCGATCTCCTGACCTCATGATCAGCCCACCTCCGCCTCCCAAAGTGCTGGGATTACAGGCATGAGCCACCGCACCCGGCCAAACCCATCTACTTTGACTCCAGGATCAGTGCTGCGTCCACTGAATCCCATGTTTGCTTCGTTTTGAAGAGTATTTTGCTGTGGGGAAATTCTCAAGGCTCCTGAGTGCAGTCCAAGTGAGGGATCATGACCCCATACACCAGGAATAGCTGGCTCAGGTTCTGGTTCCAGCACTGACCAGCTAGGAGATGTTCCCAAAACCACCTTACTGAGACTTGGTTTCCTCATCCAGAAAATGGGGCAAATGCCTCACGTCTTTTCAGTTCAGAGAAGTCACATGATTTAGCTAAGGCTAAATGTGTTATTCTGGACTACATCCCCCAGAGGCTCTTGCTTTGAGGCTGGTTCTTCCACACACTCCTGCCAGCCACGGATGTGCACCAGCATCCTCATTCCCAAATTTGGCAGCATCTCCTCATTCAGCCTTCTGTGCTCTGAGCTGTCTGGATCCCTCCCAAGTTCTGAGCTTCCTATGGCTTGAGAACACCTGAGCTCAAATCACAAATTAGCTTCTATCAGTGAGCGTCTTTGGACAGATTGTTTCCCTATGTGGGCCTCAGTTTCCATGGGTGCAGAATGAGGAGTTGCGTGGGGGACCTGTGTAGGCCTGGCTGGCCCTGACCATATGGGATCCTTTGTTTCTGAGCCCAGCTCTGAAGGCAGCTCGTAAAAGGTCCCATGGGCTGTCAGAGTGTGGACTGATCTCAGATCTAGATCAGATTCCTTATCCTCTAGGGGACCTCCAGGGTCAGGGCTGCTGAAGGGACACAGTCAACTTCCTCCTGGGGGAAAGGTCTCTGGGGTGGACAGAAGAATTACTATGTCTTTGTGTGACTTGAGAAAAATAAAGTCTTGACTTTCTTTTGACGCTGAACAATGCCCTGTTCTACTTTGCAGGGTAAACGTGCGGTGTCTATCATTGTGGCTTGGATGGGAGTGACTTGTATGATTTGAGTCATTCTTGCCCAAAGTTATCACTGCTTGAAGAAGCCATTAAAAATTCCCTAGTTAGAGGCTGCTTCACAGACCAGCTGCTCCTCTGTGTGCCTCATTCTCTCTCTCACTGGCTTTTGGAAGGACCAATTTTAACAAGACTGAACTTCTTGAAGAATCAAATGAAGGAACCTAGTGACCCCTTCATCAGATATTTCCACTACTTGATTATAGATTCATGAATCATTGGAAAGGAAGCAACTATGATTGAGCACTTGTTGAGTACTTCCGGCTGCACACCTTTGAAAGAGTCTCCTAAAATCTGAGCTTCCACTGCATTTATATTATAGGGGTAACAAGGACGGTTTCACCATGTTTTGCTGAGATTAAATGAGATGGTGTAAAATGGCTTGGTACAATCCCTGACCATAGCAGATGCTCAATAAATTTGCTCCTTGCATTTACTTCTGACTTGCTCAATTTTATTCTTGGGGTGGGCTAGGCACTAACATTCTTGGGTAACCCCAGCATCTTGTGCATGAGTCCAATAACCCTGATAGGGCAACAACTTCCACCATCCCTCCAGTACCCTCTTTTGGTCAGCCTTCTTTGTTATAAAAGATGTTCATTTGTAACAAAGAGTGTAGGCTTTATCCATCTGTGTCTACTACATGAAATAATAGTCACTTCTGTGGGTCAAGCTGCCCTTGGATTTCAGGAAGTCCTCAATATGGCTCCTAGCTAGTCCTTGCATGCTTCAGGCATGACTTCAGAAATGGCATGGACCCTATGGTCTTTCACTCCAGCATCTTCATCCTGCAGGCTGCCATGCTGCTGCCACTGCCCCCAGTAACCTTCCCCAGAGAGTGGCCTCTCCAGGACAGTCATCCTCTCGTGAGGTCACTATGGCACCATTGTTCTGGCCTTGAGAGGAGAGGTGACATCTCTTACTTTACTCATTATCTCAAAGAGATGAAATGCTGGTTCCTTAATCCCCACAGCACAACAAATCCAAGCCTTTATCTAACAATAGGAATTTACTGGAAGCCCAGAGATACCAGAAAAGATGACCAACTAAGGGAATAACTTAGTCCTGCTACTATAATACTGAATGTGCCTATGCTCAGAATCCCAGGCCCAAGTCAGCTCATATATTTAGAGAGTCCTGCCTGGGCCTGCCTGCCTAGCTCCTGTTCTCCCTGCATGTACAAGGGCCCAGGTCGCCTTACATGATGGCAGTGTTCTCCACCATGGCTGCTTCACCAGGGTCCAGCCCAGTGTTGCTTGGGCACATGGAGAGGAGAAGGACCTTCCCTTTTTCAGGACGACTTATTCTCTAGCCTGGTTCCCAGGGCATGTGAGTATCGATTTACTTCATTGGAAAGTCTGGATCCTTCCTATGAAAATTCTGTCCACTCTCCATGACTAGGTCAGAGCTCTCAGCTCTGCAAGTCCCTTTTTGTGACACTCATCATATTTACAACTGAATTTTGATTATGCGTTTCTCTGATTCACCTCTATTTTCCCTACAAGAATTGTTATTCCCAGGCTGGGTGCAGTGGCTCATGCCTGTAATCCCTGTACTTTGGGAGGCTGAGGTGGGCAGATTACCTGAGGTCAAGAGTTTGAGACTAGCCTGGCCAACATGGTGAAACCCCATCTCTACTAAAAAAAAAAAGAAAAAAAAAATTAGCTGAGCATGGTGGTGCACACCTGTAATCTGAGCTACTTGGGAGGTTGAGGCAGGAGAATTGCTTGAATCTGGGAGGTGGAGGTTGCAGTGAGCTGAGATTGCGCCACTGCACTCCATCCTGGGCAATAAGAGCGAAACTCTGTCTCAAAAAGAAAAAAAGAAGAAAAAAAGAAAAAAAAAAAAAAAAAAAGACTTGTTATTCCCTGCAACCAGGCACCGTGACTCCCAGAATCTACTATAATGTCTTATATATAAAGGTATTCCAAAAACATCTAGAAAGGCTGAACAAATATATATATATATATATAACTGAATTTAAAAGGAAAAAAAAAAAAAAGAAAAATCCCACTGCCAGGAATGAAGAAGTAACTTAAAGTTGAAGTCGTAAACTTATGAGCTGATACCTGGGTATCAGGGACAGGTGGAGGTGTGCGTACATTAGTCTAGATCTAGATTCTAAGTGTTTGGAACTAGGATTTTAATGCCTGTGTGGGAAAAAGGGAGCCAGGTGTAGTCCATGAGAGATATGAACTGAGAACTGAGATTTCTATATAAAGCTGAAGTCTGCTTAGAGTTCTGAGTGGAAAAATTTAAAAGCTTCCTATAAGAAATTTAAACCCAAGGCTTTTATTATTTATTTGTTTAGAACAAAAGCTTATTTTATTTTTGAGACAGAGTCTCACTCTGTCACCCAGGCTGGAGTGCAGTGGAGTGATCTCGGCTCACTGCACCCTCCGCTTCCTGGGTTCAAGCAATCCTCCCACCTTAGCCTTCTGAGTAGCTGGGACTCAGGTGTATTTTGTATTTTTAGTAGAGACGGGGTTTCACCATGTTGGCCAGGTTGGTCTCAAACTCCTGACCTCAAGTGATCCCCCCAACTTATCCTCCCAAAGTGCTGGGATTACAGGTGTTAGCCACCATGCCCAGCCAAATGTGCAACAGGCTCCAAGACAACACTCCATTCTAGCTACGGGTGGCAAAAGATGTTACAGCAGGGATACCTACTGATGTTTAAACAGAAATGGAATCAAGGGTCACCATCACCTCAGGAACAAGGAACAGCTTACTTTTTGCCGGACTTCTTAATTCTACCTGTAGCCAGGGGACACTTCCATGAGAACTTTGCTTTTAGCTCCTGCAGTTTCTTCTGTTCCTCTTATTTCTTCTTGAAAGCCTTATCTCATTCATCTCCTTGGCTTGCTTCTTGGGCTGTTTCAGGGGCTTCTTGCCACTTTTGCAGCTGGACCAAAACTGGACATTTTTTATGTGCAGATAGGAAGTCTGTATTTTTGCTACTCACTGGAGGAATTCCTAAGTTCGACTAGTGAAGCTCAAGATTTAGGGCATACTGGACTCTCATACCGAAATAATTATGAATGAAAATTACACTAAGACATTACAAACCACACAAGCTTATAAGTTGTCAGAAAGGGAGACAGTAGACACAATCAGTGGGATAATTGGTTGCTAAAGAATTTGGGAAAGCAGAACTTTCTAGTACATGCATTTGGTGGTATAGACACTCATTTCTCTTGAGTGCATGTCTAGCAGTAGAATTTCTGGGTCATGGATTGGGGGAGTGTATACTTAGCTCCAGTACCTAGAGCCAAGCCATCTTCCAAAGTGGTTAAATCAATTTATATTCCCACCTGGAAACTTTGTAAGTTCTAGTTGATTCACTTTCTTAAAAACAACTATCATGGCCATTCTTTTTCATTTAAATCCCTCTGGAGGAAGCCTAGATGTATAAATTTGTGGTTTTCATTTGTATTCACCTGATCAGTAATGATGTTGAATAGCTTTTTCATATCACTTTATAAGAAATCATAAAATTCATTTCATACGACACTTGGGCATTTGAATATCATTCTTTGTAAAATACCTGCTCAAGTCTTTGTACTTTAAAAAGTTGAGTTGGGTATTTCTTGACTTTTTTCCTTTAATATTTTTAAACTTACAAATCACAGAATTTGAAAGTCTTTGTTTGCTGCTCTATGGTTATAGATTGTAGCAGTGTTACAGAAATCTACATATATGCTAAAACTCACTGAGTTTTTATTGAATACTGTTAAATGGAACAGTATTCAATAAAAAGTTTGTTTTTGCAGTAGATTTCATCATTTTTACAGAGACTACAGTGGGGAAATGAACAAGTATGTAAATGTTAGTTCTTGCACCATAAGCATACTTAAATAGAACACCAGCAGGTTGTCTTAAAAAAAGAGAAAGAGGCCGGCTGCAGTGGCTCATACCTGTAATTCCAGCACTTTGGGAGGCTGAGGTGGTTGGATCACAAGGTCAAGAGTTCGAGACCAGCCTAGCCAATATGATGAAACCCCGCCTCAACTAAAAATACAAAAATTAGGTATGGTGGCGCGTGCTTGTAGTCCCAGCTACTTGGGAGGCTAAGGTAGAAGAATCACTTGAACCCAGGAGGCAGAGGTTGCAGTGAGCTGAGATCATGCCACTGCACTCCAGCCTGGGCGACAGAGCAAGACTGTCTTAAAAAAAAAAAAAAAAAAGGAAAAAGAAATCCCTTCTTCCACCTGAGCATGAAAAAAAAAAAATGACATAACCCTGTTAAGAAAACGCAGTGTGGATGTTTCCTTTCATGTGAGCCCAGTCTCATGGTCTTTTCTGTGTCTGTAAGATGGTTGTCTGTGTCCACAGGTGGGTATCTCAGTCTTTCTGTTGGAGCCATTAGGATGAGGCAAACACCAGACTCACTCAGTAAGCAGAACAACCAGTCCTTGGGGCTTGAGGGAGACAGCTGGGTCTCCAAGTTAAATTCTGGGCTAAAACTGAGCTTCCCTGTGATGTACATGGAACAAAGTAATGCGTAGGCTTTAAAAATTGTCATAGAAGAAAGCATCACTTAATGTGGGGACATCGCCACAAAACAGTGCCTGAGAGCAACCCCTGGTGACTGCTGTCGGCGTGGAAGGAAATGCCTTGGTCGGTCCGTCATTTCTGCATTCCTTTCTCACCATCTTCTCTCCTCAACATTTATAAGAATAGCTGTACACTAACATTTTGGGGAGGAAGAACGCAGAACACTTTTTAAACATTTGGTAACTAAAATAAGTTATGGGCTCTTCATTGTCAACTACTTGAGGGATATATTTAATTCTTAAATTCCCTTTAAAGAAACAATTTTATAGTTATTTTAGGCTGCAAACATTTGCAGCAAGTTCTCAGTTTTGCCATTTCCTTTACTGTTATGCAATCAACAAACTTTGTATATGGATTTTGATGTAAAGTATGGATATTACTTTTATGTGTATTTAATCATGCAGTTTAATTTTACACACTTATTTTTAATGTTTCTTTTATTTTATTTATTTTTTTTTTTTGAGACAGAGTCTCGCTCTGTCACCCAGGCTGGAGTGCAATGACTGGATCTCAGCTCACAGCAAGCTCCGCCTCCCGGGTTCACGCCATTCTCCGTCCTCAGCCTCCCGAGTAACTGGGACTACAGGTGCCCGCCACCTCGCCGGGCTAGCTTTTTGTATTTCTTAGTAGAGACGGGGTTTCACCATGTTAGCCAGGATGGTCTCGATCTCCTGACCTCGTGATCCACCCGTCTCGGCCTCCCAAAGTGCTGGGATTACAGGCTTGAGCCACCGCGCCCAGCCTAATGTTTCTTTTAAATAAAAGTGACTAATTTTATTGGGGAAAAAAAAGCCATTTATTTTCCCAGTCACCCTGTTGAGGGAGAATAAAAGGAAAAATCAGTTAGGCAGACAGCTAAGGCTGGTCCTCAGAGAAGCA